TTACGGTAAAAAACCAATATACATTGTGGAGGATGCTAAGTCTATCTCAACAAAATCTCAGATTCCCCTTCGACAGGGATTGGAAATTCAAGCAATTCTAAAAACTATCTGTAAATTACTGCATCATGCAGCCAAAAACATAGCAGACAGACAGCCAAATTATTCATCATTTACCTCAGAAATGTCCTATACTCATTTTTTACCCCAAGCCTCATCATTATCTAAGAAATTCTCCTTCTCTCGCTTTAAGAACAACTTATATACACCTACTGACCTACACCTCCATTCCGAAAATTCAACGCATTCATCATACACTTTTTTCTAGGAAAGTTTGGAACAATGAGTGGGTGTGATAAAAAGGTGGATAAACTAAGAGAGATAAACAAACGGTGGGTGGGTGTAAGAAAAAGTGGATAAAGTAACACAGCAGGCCAGTGGGGAAAAGGTGTACTGAGAACTGAAGCATGAATAGTGTAAAATCTCAAGTGATGCATTTAAAAACAAAACAGAGGGAGTATATAGTGTGTAGTAAGAAGGGGTAAGGTAGTAATAATGGCTTGCCAAAATAAAATAAGTTAAAGGTGAGTCGAACTTTTTGAAGCACCCAAACCAGAAAGTGATACATAGAGCAGTGCCCAAATATCAAAGGAAAATTGATATAAGAGAAAAGGTCTACTTTTTGAAGACCACATTCCTAGAACTAAATCATAGTAGGATGTAGAATCATCAAAAGTGACAGTAATCTTCACAAGTTCAGGACACAAGGATAAATAATGACATATAAACTGATACAAACATACAATGCGAGTAAACATAACCCCTTTAACACACAGAACATAATCAAGCAATGAAGAATCAATCTATATGTGAAGAGAGACATACTTTGGACATAACCAGTCCCCCTTTTTCATCTCAATGTCATCACGTCCCACTCGTCTCTTGGGTGGAGGTGGTGGTTGCTTCACCTTCGGTGGGCGCTTCTTGATCACTGGAGGAGGGAGATTGGGATCTATTGGCACTGCACTTAACCTGACAACCTCATGAAGCAATTTACGGACTACTGCTTTCACAGATTTGTGCTTCAACAAAGATTTGTTTTCAACTGATCCATTTATAGGATCAAAGCCATAAGTTAATAAGACACGCATCACATCAATCGTCCTTGCCTCATCTTCCTTATTTGTAACCAAATACGCCCTTTCACATTTGGTTCTCAAATTGCAGGAACTGCAAACCTGAAAAGCACAAAAAAAACCATTGATATAAACACACTATAGAGACAAAAAGCACAAAATTAGTGCAATATATTCTTCTTCTCATCAAGCTTGAGTTTGATGGTGAAAGCACATAGTAAACTCCAAAATTGGCAATTTGCAAGCCTCTCAGCTTATAAGACAAACAAAATCAATATTGTCAAGGGAGCAAAGAAATACATTAAAAATTCTGTTAAAACTTGCAACAGTAGGGTTTGGGGAGGGTAAAATACTAACATGTACACAGTTTTAAGTATCAAGCAACATAACTTAATACATGTACCCAATCAGGCAATCACAAGTTGAATGAAAGAAAAAGACATCAATCCTGGATACAAACTTTGACTTCAATTTCCAAAAGTTTAATGAGAATCAGAGAGGTAAATGCAAACCTCCCAAAGCAGTCAATTCAATGAAGTATGGAGAGCTATGACTTAGCTACAAGTGAAGCAACACTTACATCTCCTTCATCAAGATGAGCATGTTTCCTCAACAGTTTTGCAGAAAAAAACCACCTTTTTGTCTGCACTGGGACATCCAAACCCGACAAATGATTGAATATCCTGTCTCGACAATGACCTGAAATTAATTCCCAGTTTAAATAGAATAAAATGACTCAAGGTAGAAGTCCATAATATTTCTATATAAAACAAACTACCAGCTAAGACCCATTGCAAGATCATAACGGATGATTTAAAAAAATTGACCAAAAGAACAATACAAGAAAATCTTTGACCAAAATCTACACAAGAACACTAATACTGAGAAGGAATATCAGTCTGACATGAAAGGAATAGTGTCTGAATCCTAAAAATAAAACTGACGCTAGCATGGAGCAATAAAACTTGATTCACCTCCCAAAAAATGTAAAGTTCCAAGGAATGCAATGTTGTCAAATTGTCACCTTAAGATAAGTAGATAACTACATTAACTAAGTGAAAACTGACGCCTACTCTTATCAACCAACTCTCTAAAACAAATGAAACTCATTAACGCTCAATCCTCTGAACAAACTAAAGTTCAATCCTTACAATTTCTCAGTGAGCTCATATAGCTCCACATTGTTATTACTATCGATGAAGCAATTTACATTTCCACCAAAGTAAACCCTCTTTACCCAGCCAATTCACAAAAGCAAAACCAATTCACCCCTCCACCAAATTGAGTTCTTCCTTCCACTCCAAATTCCCAGTTTCCCACTATAATTAAACAACTCGATTTTGTTCACGTTTCCATTCTCCATTCTTAAATAATCCATTGATAGCATCAAAAACATTTCTAGCGATCAACTAATTACAAAGACTAATCCTCTAAATTTCTACTCAGCGAAACAAAGGACAAAAATGCAAGTTCTTTCTTTGCTAAATTTCTCTCTTCAGTTCTAATTTTCTATTATAACCAAAAAAAAAAAAAATAGTATAGGAAATCAAACAAGCAACAAGCAATAAGATCAAAACATTTCCTCTCTATAAGTTAATTGGTGGGAAAGGGAGGTTAATAAGATGATCAAGAACAAGTAGAGCAATGAACAACTACCTCAAAATATCGAACCGATCTTTCCCAAAATTAACTATAGCAGCATGAACAGTCTTCCAATCCCTAGTAAAATCAAACCCTTCTTCTTCAGCAAACCCAGAAACATCAACCGAACCCAAACACTCAATCATTTGATCCTCATCTTTCCTCCTATGATCAAAGTAATTCTGCTGCACCAATCTCTCCATCAACGCAACCCATTCCGGCCACGGGTGCGCCAATTCAATCTCTTTCTTCATCAATCCCACCTTCTTCACCTCCTCAACCCCTCCACTCGCCGCAACATCAACACCCCCATCAAAACCCCCATCAAAACCCCTTTCTTCACCCCCATTTGCACCAGAATCACTAAACCCTAACCCTAATTTCTCATTTCCGACATTATTGACACCACCACCATCATCATCAGATTGCTTGAGCTTCTTCTTGGATTCCCGCCAAGCTCGAATTCGTTGAAGAGCATCATCTTTTTCACCGCGCTCCTTTTCGATTTCGTCGATTTTGTCGAAGACGAAGCTTAAACGGGAGGTAAGAGAGGAGGGTTTTGGTGGGTCCGAGGAAGTGGTAGTAGTGTTGGAGTGAGATGGTGGGGAGTGAGAGAAGTGTCGGATGAGAGGAGAGAGAAAATGACGGCGGTGATAATGGTGGTGGTGGCGGAGGAGGAGAGAGAAAGAAGAAGGCGCCATTAAAGGAGGAAGAAGTGTGTGTTGTTAGAGGTGAGTAAAAGCTGTAAAACCCTCCATAAACCCCTAACTTTATAAGCTGTGAAATTGTGAATATTGAATGATTATTATTGGTAGTGACTTTTGAAGAAGAAGAGGTTGAAGGGAGATACTTGGTGTCTTGGTTAGTTATGTTGGGCTTAGTGTTGGAGGGTCATTGCCTTTCCCTCCTTTGTGTTGAGATTTATGATTTATGTATAGGTCTTCGAATAAGGTTGTTTATCTTAGATTCGAATAAATATATACGAGTTTTACATAATTCGAAATTTACATATATGTGATTTGAAAGTGTTTAAAAGATTATGAACATATTTTTCACCCAAAAACATATGTAAATATTTTGTGTGTTAAATTTATATGTCAGTAATAATAAAGGTAGGCACAAGATATGTTGGCAGGTGCATATGCTGTGTTAGCGTGCTTTGTGCTCAAGTGGGCCGTGTGCAGACAGGCCAAGAAATAGTCATGTCGTGTTAGACTTGTGTCGATCTTTTAAATTCGGAGCTCATGCAAGATTATGTAAATGTGTCGCCGTACTAACAGGCCTCCTTAATAAATTTTATATTATCGCTAAATTAGTCAAAAATAAACGGCCAACATCAGGGTGAATTGCTCTCTTTGTGTCGAGTTTGTGCCAACTGCCAAATTTTGTGAATGATGTCCAAGCACGACACACGACCTACCGACGTGCCTTTCATGTCGTGCTAGGCTTTTGATAGGCTGGTGCCAAGTCAAATCATTTTCATGTCATGCTAAACCAGCCTTATTGCTAGCCCAAGCTACCCAACCCATGCACATCAGTACATGTCTAGTGCTCTAGTCAATATATCAATTTAGGATAAGGATATGAAATGTGGTTTTAAGATGAGCATGTAATAAAAATTTATTAACATGTAATTCAAAAGAATTTCCCAATATTCCACTGAAAATCTTGTTAAAATTTATTTTAATTTATACTATTACAATATTGAACCTATATAAATTTTATGCAATGACAATTAGAGATATAGATGGTTGAAATTATAAATTGATAAACATGAAAAGAAAAATGTGTCAACTGAAAAAATAAAAGATAAACTACATGTATTTTATTAGGTCTTACACATCCTGCTTTTGGAGAGGAGGTCGGGACATGGGGGTTTAACCATGAAAACTCACTCTGAAAACTAACTTTAATAATCTGAGCAGCAGTATAAGCAAAATAGAGAATTTAGAGGCAGAGCAAATTTGTTACCGTTCCATTGATATTTCCTCCATCTCAATGACTGCTCTTACAAACCCTTGAAATATATACTACTACAACTGACCAGCTGTGAAAGCCGCCAAAACAGACTAGCTACAGGGAATAAAAACATGACAAGAGGAAATAAAGAAAAACAGAAAAATAAAAAAGGAACTAAAACATCATTGGTTGATAGCTGATCCTTCAATACAATTTTACCTATCAATATGTCGAATCAATATGCAAGCAGTCTAATTCAAAAATGAATTCGAAGTAAATCAACATAGAAGAGCTATAGATTGAACAAAATATATAGACACTTCCACTGTTATAATTGTACATTGAACAAGAGATACAACAAACAACAGTAAATTTGCCTGGCTTCTAATGCTGTAACTCTATACACGAAGAGATGTTCCTACACACTACGGATTACTCTGTACAAAATATATGGCCATAAGGTCCATATACATTTGAATCGTACACTGCATTATACGAGTAGAAAAAAAAAAATTACATAATCACATTTAGGAGAAAAGGGCAGGAGAAAAAAATGCTACCAAAACCTCACCTATCCAGCTATCCTATTATCACCTTGCGGTTTCTTTATAGGAAAATAATGAAAACTTTCAGAACCACTCCACCATACACTTAGGATAAAAACCTGCTTCAGTAGCAATACCAGAGAAAGCCCGCAGTTCTTTCTGAACTTTCTGCCTCTCATAATATACCGAGCATGCTAGAGAAGTACACTTGACGCCACTTTCCACCAGCCAATCTCCACCACCACAATGCCGACAAATCTATAGAAGGAAAATCACATAATTAGTCATTTCATTGCAGAGTATCACAACTTTGAGCCCAAAATTAAAGAGCACAACAGCAGGCAAAGGCAGGTTTGGACAAGAAATTCTTCAATATAGGTGAAGGAACAAAGGAACCAATAAATCACCACTCAACTACTTTACTATGATTTACTTCCTCTGTTTCCCTAAAATTGCACTTGCCTAAAATTTTTACTTTCAAAATTCTGCGACATTTCCACTTTTGTACATTACTAACCTAAACACCATAACTCCTTTACTTTATGGAGCGGATATGAGTGGTGCAGATAAGGGTAGATGGGTAATACAGAGTGGATGAAGCTTTCCTCGCATCTCTACTTGTAAAAATGTTGTCATTCTTAGGCGAATGATGAGAGTTATATGGCTTTAACATAAGGGAACACACTAGGTATAAGAAATTGCAAGTGTAGAGGGGGGAGGTGGGGGGCTATGATACTCACAGCAACAAGGTGTTGGATATCTCTCTCCAGTTTTAAAGTTCTTCCAGTCATAGCTGCAACGGTAACAGGGCCCTTCTTGGAACATTTTTCACAAAAATAATTAGCTGTTTGGACAAGTTCTCCACAGAGTACACAATGTTTTGAGGAATAGTAATAATCAATTCTAGCTCGGAGAGAATTTACAGCACTGAAGTGTTGCTTTGCAGGAGCATCCCTAACAGGCCGTGGCATATCCTGAAACCACTGCCTTAAATCAGCACCTATAAGCCCAAATACCCGCTGTAAAGCTGGTATTATCTGCTTTGTGATGTAATACAAATCATTCAGTCTATAGGGAGACTCCATAGACAAGAGTTCCTGTGGGTCAACAACCATGTCAACCAATCGAGCACCTGGTTCTCCATGGACAACAACATAAAGGACACGCTCAGCATATCGAGGTTCAGCTCTTGGATCAACTCTCATTGCTTTAGAAGCAACAATTGCTGCTGGAGGCAGTGATGATGAAGCCCTTGTGCTGTAAGTACCCAATCGGACCTCTTTTGCAAAGACAAAATCTTGAATTGAAATCCTTCCTGAAAGGATTCTGGACCATTGGCGCTGAAGATAAGCTTTAACCTGCAAACAACCAGATAGAGCGTAACACGGTGACATCAATTTTAAAAGGTACAAGTCATGAATGTAATGTTGGTATCATGTGGGAGTAGGTCACAGAACACTCAATCATCAAAAGGAAATTCCTATCCTGGAAAAATCAGACAGAAAACTTCTCAGTAAGAAAAAAATTCTTTAAAATCCTTTTTTTAAGGTAAGCCAGCTTCAAAGTGGCAGACGTGATGTTTAGCAATCTCCTCAATTGAATTTACAGAAAATAACAAGCATTGACTATACATTACTGATATAACCATATTTGTAGAAAGAGTGATCCCAACCTTTGCTTCTTATTAAAAATATAGAGCACGAAAACATGATCAGAAGTTCAGAACTAATTTCCAATAAAAAAAAAGTGACTCCAACTACCCAGTATTTTACCTTGGAAATGTCCTGGCATTCAAAAAACATTCTCAACGACTTCTCCAAGGTCTTTGCAACAGCAGGACACGTGTCTCTACGAACTGTCTCAATGCCTTTAGCATCAAACATAGGTTCTGGTTGACTGAGGCTCTCATAACTGTATCCTACATATCGCTTTTTAGTAAGAAGAAAGCAGGACTGATAGACCTTCTCCATCTTCAATTTGACAGGATTTGGATTCATTGCTGTAATTGTGGAAGCTATCTCATTTCCAATACGAAAAGCCTCTTTTAAAGTGCGCCCTTTAAGAAGAACAAACATACTGCCAAAAACCAAGCAGTGTTAGCAGGATATATAAACAAAATTAGAAAGGAATCAGCAATTACCCTCAACTAATAACAGTGAGGAATGCAAAAGCTAAAATAGTAACAACATAACTGAACTACCAAAAGACAGTACAGTTTGACATGTTAAAGAAAATTTCCCAAATAAGGAAAATTCTTTCACACAACATGGAAATAAAACAAGGCATTTATCCAGACATAGATTGGTTGCCTCGTCGGTCATGCAAAACAGATAGCAAGTCAAGGAAATTTTGTGTAAAGAAGGCATGTGATACTGCCTCGTGTGATATGTAATTTCCAGTGTGACAGTTTTTTTTTTTTTTTGGAAGGCAGTGTAATCAGGATGTGAAGGTTTGGCTGATCACCACTCCTCCAGTTAATTTTGCATACGTTTGGAGTAGATTGTCACAGTTCAAGAAGAAGGTTGATTTGGCTGCTATAACAGATTAGCAGCTGCTCTGTATTAAATGCAGAATGTGAGTAATAAAGCCCTGTAGGAGTTCAAGTTTGCAATGGTTGCTACAGCTTTCAAGGATGTCAGTAATACTGTCAAGCTCAGAATTCAAGACATTATAGGGAAGATAGTTAAAGTTTTGAAGAGTAGTAGATTAGATACTTTGTAGTGAGTGTTATTGATTTTTTTGTATTTGTTGTATGTTTTATGGGCTGTCTGCTATTTTGGAGTAGAGTTGAGGGGTTTCAATTCAAGATTTTGTCTGTCTTAAACTCTTCATTTTGACTTCCATACCCTTGTCGAACACTCAACACTCTGACAAGGGTATGGAAGTATTACCCGATACTTCAATGGTCACTCAGACACTTCAATCATATTGAACCACATAATTGCAAAAGAAACTGTATAAATAGAAGGAAAAGAAGAATGTGTGTGATATATGCTCAAAAATAGGCTTCAGAATTCAGATAAGGATTTCAATAAGATTTAACAATCAAGTCAGGCTAAAATGTATGTATATGTATTTGTACATTGAAACATGCAGAAAGTCTTCTACAAACATTAATACATTTCATTTATGCAGTGTCCCCATACCACTGTCCTATTTTAGGACATAATTTCTGTGTTTAAATCTAATTTGATGTGTTACATGCTTGACCCGCACCCAAAACTCATACCCATGTCTACGAAAAAATTGACAACTTAAGAAACCCAAAGCGTCAGTCAACTACGAACCGCCTTCTTTTGCTCTGGGAAGATCCAATTAAAATAGTGAGAGAAAAGGTAAGCATAGACAAACACTCAAGTTGGGATATTAAACATTGCCATGTCAAGAATTTTTTTGAAGAAATATTATGTGTAGTACAGTAGTAGTAAGAAATGATTGTTAAGAGAGCATAGACTCTGAATGTAATTTCAAGAGACTTAAAATAAATAAATTAAGCCAGCTCATTCATATGGTGCATTGAACATCTGAAAACTATGGTGTGGTTAAAACAAAGATCGCTCCACTTTTGAGCTCTCAATTCTCATAGAAAACATAGTTTCAGCCTTCAGGATAGTAAGACCAAATAATGTAGATATTTTATCACTTACCTGTCAGTATCACCATACAGAACCCTAGCATTCCATTGATCATGTTTGTTGACAAATAAGATAGCATGTTCAAGTGTTTTACGACCACACTGAACAATACTGTCTGCCAGCTCTGCACATGGCATGCGACCACTAAATCCAGCAGCTGTGTATCCGTAAGTTACATTAGCTATTAGCTTTAATGCAAGCTGTCTGGCATTAAATATCTGTAATAAAGGATGAAAAAAAAATCAGCATAATTCTTCTTTCTAACAAACATGTTTATTAAGAGAAAAATAATCACAAACACAACAATTACAACATCCTAGCCCAACCCAAATATACATATTAGCAGTTCCAGTAAGCTTTGTAGCTAAGAAGTATATAGATAGCTTCTGTACACAGCTACATTCATTCATTGAATTCAATATCAGGTAGCCACAATTTCCATGCTTGGTAATAGAGTTGCAAAGGGTTGCTCAAAGTCAAATAAAGCTGTCAATCAGTTTGAGAATAGTTAATGGATAGGATATGGGATGTGGCCTGATTTTTAATTGAAAAAGGAAACTAATGTAAGGGCATGTTGGTAATTGGTATAATTAATTAAATAAAAGAAAATACCACTCAATTTTGATCAAACACTTCTCAGAGCCACAACAAATCTTTTCTCACATTTTAAAATACATGCAAAAGATTTCAAGTCTTGGAAGTAATACCCTCTGAAGAACTTGCTGTGAAGGTGCCAACGACTTCATTGCTTGCTTCACCATAACCCTAGTTGATAAAATTTCTTCCAACAGCCGAGGTAGAATTCCTTTACGCACCTACTTAGAGTGGTACAATGGAGTCACAAAAGTAAACAAAGTAAGAAGATAAATTGCGGATGCAGGGAAAAGTGCATGCACAGAACCTTCCCTCTTCTTTCAAGATAAACGAAAGCATAATAAAGCTATTTATAGATACTAGATCAGAATTAGAGGCTACAATTTAAAATGTCATCTTTGGTGGATTACTCATAATGTCTTTTAAGAATACATTGTTTACCAGATTTCATAAGCTATAATATGTTAAGGCAAATATAGGACTAAGAATGCCATTAACAACTACAAAAATCCTAAACATTGTTAACTGAACTGGACATCAAAATAAACACATATACATAACAAGAATTAAGTACAAAATTTATTCTTTCAAAAAAAAAAAAAAAAAGTACAAAATTTATGAGAAACTCATAGGAAGATCAGATAATAAGTGATACAAAGAATTCCCTACCAACATCTAATAGAAACCCATCATCTCATTGGAGATTAGGACAAGAACACATGCAACAACAAATTGATGAAAGTTAAACATCATTACTCTGGTAGAATAGGGGAGTAATTATTACTGATTATTGAACAGTAAAGAAGCGATGGAGACATCAACGATGCAAAAAGTTAGAGCGACTGATTATAAACCAGCACCAAACTATGGAAAAAGCCATCTCTAAAAGGATAGGTAATAATGTCTCAAAGAAGTGATGCATAAGAAAGAAAGGCAATATGATTATTAGAGATCAATTCAAAACATAGAAGGGTATATCTGTACTTCTTAAACTATACTATAATACTTCCTCTCTTTTTCTACATGCAACATTTCAATAGTGTAAACTATTAACATACTCAACTTCAATTACATTTCGTGATTTATACTTAAAGATGAACAGTCACATGGGATCTTTGATAGATTCGTCTCAATGTGTACTTTATTAAAATCTAATTCTGAACAGTAAAAGTAAGTTTTGATCAATAACAATAATTTAAGTTTAGTAAAATTATTTACTACATAAGTTCGGCAAAAATTATTTAAGTTCTATAAAATATAATTTCATTTCAGCAAAAATAAAGTTTGAAGAACAAGGCCTGACTATATATTATAAAATTCACGCTTTGTTCCCCACCATATAATTTTCCTAAAACTTTATGTAATTCCAACTATTGCAATTAATATGAAATGGAGGGAGTATGTAAGGAAGTTCAAGAGAACAAGCAGGTAACATAATATTCAAATGAGGAGATACAAAACTACTAAGGTATAGAGAGGCATGGCATATTAGATCAAAAAAAAAATTAAAAAAAAAAAAAAAAAAACCCTCCACTGGAAAATAAAAAAATAATAAAAAAAAAATTAAGGAAAAAAAAAAAAGCAATTCAGAGCAAGCTTGTGTAAAAGAACATAAAGAATGTTCATGTGCAAAGTGCAGCAGCAATTCAAACTTCAGAAGCAATCCTATATATATCATATCCTTTTATGCAAATTGCAGATCTAGAAGCACAGCTCACAAGTCAGTAGAAGATGGAAATTTACCTCAGAGGGCACATACATTACACCATTAGGGGTAACCAGTATCTGTTGATTTAAATCCTTCAAAATTTGCAAATCTGGGGAGTATGAGCTGACCCCAAGGCAATCGGCTTTTGATGGGACAACATTGCCAAGGCAGGTAGAAAAGCAAAGGTTGTATGCAATTATCATTGACGGATAGAGTGACTGAAAATCCAAAACAACAACTGGATCTGAGTAGAAACCAGATTCTGGCTCCATTACAAGAGGTATGCACTCCATTGCAGGTTGAGAGGCTACCTGATAATACAAGGTTAAAATATAGGTCAATGCAACACAGACAAGCAGCGAATCGTTTGAGTACAGTAAGACATATAGTCATAAACATTACTGTGACATGGGAGGAAGAAAAAAAACAGAAGAAAGAAAGCAAAACCTGTTGATACCCTGGAGAAATAAGGACATAATTCTGTGTATGAGCCAATCTTACAAGCATGGATTCAACACGATACTGAGAGCCACGAGACAAAACAGAGAAAAAGTCGATTCCAAAAACACGAGCTAGCTCTGATGTGCGGTTTATCTACAGAAGAAGCAAATCTCAATTGATAGTAAGAGAACAAAGATAGAGCAATTGAAGGGAAAAGGTAAATTCTTGGCAGAGATCAGCCTTATATAAAAATGTATTGCCTTCAAAGAAGAATATAATTGGTTTCTTTATTAGAAGCATGATGTCTCCAAGAATGGTCATAAAATTATTATTAGAATAAAAAAATAAATTACAATGTTATAAGAATGCCGAAAGCCCGAAGCCAAAAGGAATACTTAAATTGCAAATTAAGGGGAATCAAATCACAGTAAACAAGCAAGACAAATCCAATAACACTAAGAGGCAGATGATGCATGGATAAAAAAATGAGACCTTTATGAATAGAGCTACTAAATGCAGCACTTACCATATCAAGCTGATTCACAATATCAAAGTTCAACTTTACCCTCTCCACAAAATACTCAATGCAACGGAATCTTGCTCTCCCAGGACCACTTGAGAACCATTTGTTCAATATCTTCCAATGAATCGACGGAACTTTTCGTCTCAAAACAGCTTCTGCCACAGCCTCTAGGGAATACATATTTAATTTAACTTCACTACGCACGAGTCTCCAAACATTGAGGACTATTCTTCCAGTTACATGGACACCGCTTGCATGGGTCCTACCCCATTCATCCTCAATTATAGTGTTATCATCAAGAACAGTATCAGACATCAGAGAATCAGCAGATACAGCTGCAGCAGTTCCCTTGTCAGAAGTATCCAGGTCTCTGTTAACTGCCTTTCTTTCTGCTGGTGTACGAGAGATTTTGTTAATCAAGCTAAGACCTAAGTGAGAAGCCCTTTCAGCTAAAAATCCAAGTGAGTTGCCTTGGATGTCCCATCCGATTAAGATATCTGGATCAATTGAGCATGTTATACTTATAAATTTGTCAAGCAAATCCCTCTCTTCAGGATAAACAAGCATCCTGCATCCTGATATTCCATCCAAGTTTCTGCAGCACATAAATGTAGCACTTATTCAGAATCCTATGTGATTGCCACAACTAAAACAAATGAGAAAAAGAAGAAAAGGCATTTCTTACAAGTTCCAGAAACTTTATACTTCATACTTTAATGTTTAGTGGTCACATAAATATATTTTTATAAAATAAAGGCAAAATAAAAATTTAACAAAGGGCACAACATGAAGGAACTTAAAAATTTTAGTATTGATACCTTCCACAACCTTCAGTTGAACCATGCAGAAGTGCATAGATGTCGACAGATGGACTACTATCATTTTGGACTGCTATGACAATAATATTTATACTATCATGCCGTGGATCAGGACGAAGATCTCCCTGGATTCTGCTTGGACCTGTATCGATATCTACATTCAATCAAAACCATCTCACAAAATATATTTATATCCATGCCAAAAAATAATTTTAAATTTGCCTGACAAAAAGAATAATAAAAAAATTAAAAAAAAAAAAAAACAAAAAACAAAAAACCACAGCATTTCTAACCAAGAAGGTAATGACAAACTCAAGAAACTAGGAGGCTGGCAATATTGGTACTTATATACTTTGCAATGACATTATGATATCAAAAATGCATCTGGAACTGCAACTCTGAAAGTAATGCTAGTATAATCTCAAAAACACCAGCCTGATGATAAGCACATAATCACAAACATTAGCCTGAGTATGTGCTATACCATGACAGCTGAATAGCTGATAGCACTTATACACTTAACTTTAATATAACGAAGCACAGTTTTTAAGCACCATTGTAACACCAGCCGTGAATATAAATAAATAAATAAACCTCACAAGAAACACAGCCACACCATAACTTATTTTCCAAACGTCCAAAAGCACAAGCATTACATGCTAATTTTATGAGCAAATTTTAGCTCAGGTTGTATGACATTGACCTAAACAGATACTAATTCAGGACAGAGGGAGTACTTTTATTTGACCATATGTTTCATATAAAAAAAAGACACATACAACCAATACATAGGAGGTGCAAAAGTTCAACATATTAGGTACAATGGGTGAGGGGAATTTTTTTTTTTACCAAATAACTAATTTCGACCACCAGACCAAGGTCCAAGATCTCATTGGCACTATCATGAAGACAAATGACAATTTCATCTTGCATCTGCCAGTCTTCAAGCAATATGGGAAAAATGCCCATTATAGTTTTTTCTAAAAAGAAGTTATTTTGCAGGGATAATGGGTACCAACGCCAGGAAACTGAAGTCACTCAGTCAGTAAAGTATTATGGATCCCATTCATTCCTTGCATGTCAGTCAACAAGCAAAAGACAAGGCAGGCAGATATTTTGAAGGATTGAATTCAATAAACCAAGAATACAAATGTAATTGTAAATCTACTACATCTTGACTATAAGAAATATGTTGGATAGAAACTTTGGGGGTGGGGGGGGGGGGGTGTGGGTGGGTGGAGGGAGAAAAAACGAATAATTAACATCTCATCTGACAATTTTGAGGGTACATCCCCTTCAAGAAACATATGTAAGTGGATATCTAGTATACCTCACCTCCATACTCAACAGTGTCAGTTGTTGGCCAGCGCCAACACTGGCAGGGTCTCTAAACCCGATTTGACTGAGAGGAGTAGGCTTTGACTGCCCACTGGGTCCTGAGATCTGAGAGATGTCATGTGATAGCTTTGTCAAAAAAATTTCTTTCAAAGAACTCCCTTTATCAAGGCATTGGGCAAGCTCATCTTTCATTAGACCTCCTTCCATATCTAAATTTCTATGATTTTCACCATCTAGCCGATTATTCATGGGCTCCAAAAGTGTTAATTCAGAGGAATCATCAGGTAAGGGCTTTGCACGTGTACGTTCTGGAAGATAATTTTTAAGCACAAATCAGTGTTGAGCAAAAGATGCTAGAGACCTAAGCATCAATATCAAACTGAAAATTAGCTGCTAAACAGCTCACATCCCTCAAAAGGGCAAATCTTATCATTATGAATTACAAAAAATTCATGTATAAAATTCTTTCCAGATAGAATAAGGAAATAAGACATTTGTTAGCTCTACCTTTTTCTTCAAGCGCTAGCCAATTAAAAACAGAATCAACTGATGGAGGTGAAACTGCTGGGGTCAATAAATAAGCATAAGAGCCATCATTATAATAATGAGTAGGAACTCCTATACCAAAACCATGTGATTCCTGGGAGACACTTTTAGAGGAGTCAGTAAAAAATGGGTGAACATCTTCTGGAACTCCACCCTGCACTGCAAGAGAGAGAAAAGCATGTAAGATAAGAAACAACAATAGTCAATTACATAAGCAAATTAAATCTAAATTAGCATCCTGATAATAGAGTGTATTCAATGTAACAATGAACATCTTGATGAGATAGCAGAAGCAAAAAATAAGATTATAAAAAAGGAGGTGATGAGCAGAAAAGAAGACCGTAATCTAAGGAGAAAAAAGCCTAACCTTTGCATTAACTTAAGAACAATGACAACTTTCTAACAATTGGTTTAGTTTCCAAATGGACAATTATACAATAATTAAGAACACATATAAAAGAAAAAAAAATGAACCTGATGTTCCTTCATCGTCACTGTCATCTTTGACAGAACACCAACGAGAGGGAACAGGTATTGATGCTGAATTTTGAGATGTGCCATTTTTCCAGCTAGCTAACGGAGGTTTCTTGTGGAAAGTCATGCTGATATATCCTACGGACTCTGTCTCATCCATGTGGCCAAATGCAAATGGTGGGCTCACAGACGCATGCTGTTTTACAGAGTCAACTTTGACAACTTCTGCATCAGCTACAGATGAGTTTGCAATATCTTGCTTCTCTTTTCCAACAGGACAATCAGTAGCAGATTGTCTAACTTCACACACTTCTGTTTGTTTGTCTATCTGCATATGACTAGAGGGAGAAAATTCAGCAGCCATCAAATTTTGCTCTTCTGATGGCTCTGTATGAAATTCCAACTTCCTCGGATAAAATACATTATTTTCCTTTACAAAACCTTCTTCCACACTTTTTCCTGAACTGGATGATCCAACTCGGAAGCTTTGCTTTTTCCTCATCAAGTCTCGTACAGAACCGCTGTGTTGTGTTCTTGAGTCAACTACATAGCAGCCACTGCCATCTGCATTCTTAGTTGAAGGATCAGAATGTATATTGGTAGTAAATTGTTGGACTTCAGAAAGAGGTAAAGGACCAAATTGTAATTTGGACTTTTTTTGCTTGTCATCAAAGCTAGAACTGCTATGGGGAAAAGTGTGGCGCTTGGAAGACACAGATTCAGTGTCCATTTTCTCAGGTAAATTAGCAGCAGGAGTTAATTGGTGACCAAACTGTAATTTGGGTTTTTTTTGCTTGTCATCAAAGCTAGAGCTGCAATGGGGAAATGTATGATGCTTGGAAGACACCGATTCAGTGTCTATTTGTTCAGGTAAATTAGCAGCAGGAGTAAATTGATGATCATCTCCAGCACCATCGAACTTTGGAATTTTTGAGCCAGATAAATCTTGACCAATAGAAGTTCTTTTTCCTTTTTGATCATCAGAATTTAACACATCTACAATTGAATCAAGTATATCCTGACACTCTTGCTGAGATCCATTCTCATAATCTGTATTAGCTATCTTCAACACTTTATCAATGGTTGCTGCTGGCAACATGGGATTTAGAATGGTCTCCTGGTGAAGTTCATCATCTGAGTTCATATCTACTGCAGCCTGTGAGGAAGCTAGCCACTTCAATAATGCTACATCCTCTGAATCTGTACCCTGAATCATACAAATTGAACATGTTGAGAGAAGGGGTAATCCGAGCAAGGAAACAACAAAGGCAAAGAAGCACTTTAAGTTAAATACAATTTCCATAATTACAACTTTAACGCAACATCATCAAGGGATTAGATTAAGAAATATTTCAGGTCATTCTACACCAACAATAAAACCAAAAAGGCATGGGAACAGGTAAAAAACAAAATAAGATGATACTTTCTTGAAAGTTGATATATTCAAACTAGGGCAGTTTTAAACTTTCAAAGAATCCAATTACTGCAAGACAGCAAGGAGGAGAAAAAAGGCAGAGAATTTCAGTACTTTTGTATCCACTCTTTCCATCACCTGAAGAATATCCATTTCATCCATTTCAACTGATTTTCCCAATAATGCACCTATAGCGTCAACAGACACTGATTGATGTGGTGTCACACAATGCTCGATATTTACGTCTTCAGAGGACCTCAATACTAGCTCATTTGAGTTTTGGTTTCTTGTTCCCATTATACTCTCCTCTTCTATTGGACACTGTGTTGGCACCATAGATTTCACATCTTCAGATCTATCTAACAAATTGCTTTCTAATTTGCTATACAAACCCTTAAGGTTGTCCATGTACTCGACACCATTTGACAAGGTTTTCAAAACATCTTGAGGAGGTGGCCGACCAGGATCAGCCAGTATTTCTGCATCATGAACTCCAATCCTTTCAAACTCTTCCTATGATGTATGTGAAAAAAACAGTAAATAACAGAACAGTCCATACTACATGTCATTAACAGTGAGTAATATATTGCTGGGATAAAGCCAAACCTCCCAAATAGGAACAAGCGACTGAACCATTCTCACATCTGAACGAGTTTGTGAGAGGGATGTATACATTTTCAACTGCTGATTCAAAATGTCTGTAAAAAATAGGGTGAGAGTAATAATTCAAACTGAAACAGAAGGAAGAAACCTGAAGGCAGGTATAAATAACAGCATACCTTCTACAGTGGCATCCCCCTCAAGTTCACAAATGCTTTGACGATTTACAAAATTGTTGACAGGAGTTGATGAAGCACCACGTATGGAAGGATATTGCCACATCCATTCATCTGGAATAGTTAAAGACCTCCAAACTAGTGGCAATGAATGCAAACTAGAAGCCACATCTGACTAGTGAAAAAGGATTCCCAATTTATTTCAGATACTAGAAACCAATATATGAATATATAATAATAATCATAGATCAGTAACTCGGTAAGGCAGTCACATGACCTGAGAATAAGAAGACTTGCCAACAAAAGTTTCTGAATTAGAACGATCAGCATTCTCAACATGGAGATCACCAGGCACTGGATGACGAAACTTCATTTTTGAAACATGCATATGGCCCATGCCATATAAGTTGTAGTCAACCTAATGCATTTTAAACACAAACAATATAAGTGAAGACAGCAAAATCAGAAAAGTACGAGGGCATAAACATCCAAAAATAAGCCCAAAAAAAGATTAGAACTTGACAAGTGTTTATAGTTAAAACACCCATTCAAAAAAGCTGTCCCGTAATAAAAAAAAAAAAAAATTACATGCAAGAAAATAAAGTGCAACACTGCATTCATTTAAACACTGGAAATCTCTTCCATTCTATTCAAATTATCAAATCTAAAAGGTACTGCCTAGCAAATCCAATAATTCAATACAAACTTGATCTCAATTCCCAAGCCTTAACAGAAGATCAGATATACTCTACTAACAACACTTATCTCAAAAGCAAAATTTTCTCAAACAAAAATTAAATAAATAACTAACGCCCTGCTAGTCATATACCCCAATTATTAAGCATAAAAATTGGTTGGCATCTGCCACAAACTTCCTTATGGTACATCTGAAGATCTGAAATGTCCAAAAGCTGGTCAAACATATCTGACCCATTACTGAACTCTTTCTTTCTTGTGAAATAAGCTTCCATCGCAAATAGATGGACTAGAGTTTCTCGTTTTGAAAAAAGCATCATAAACATTTTTCCAAAACCAAACAGCTATTTCCTACAGATCAGATCAGTGTTTCATTGTCCTAGTTCGTAACAGTCACAACTAAAATGAACAATTGCTGCTCACTCTTTCTGAGAAAAAGAAAATGTCTATTTTAAGTAAATCTCTAAAGTAAGATGAGACAAACTATACCCACCTATTCGATTTAAAATTCCCCAATTCTTGAGAGTTGAGACCTACCATCAGCTCACAACATATACAGAGGACTAACCGACTAAGCCAATCAAATCACATCGTATAACATAGGAATGAGCAAAAGAGGTCAAGCAAGACTACTCTACATAATTGCAGCATGTATATGGATAGCAATGAATTGAGAAGAGTAGCCACAGATATAGCAGCAAGACATGGAATTCTTCTTAATTCTAGAAATTTGAACTTCATTTCAAGTTGCTATTAATACCAGAAATTGCAGAAGGAAGGGAATATGTGATTCATAGGGCTGTAAACACTTCTCAAAGACAACACCGCTCTGCAAAACATATTTTCTGTAACAGTAAGAATGCAGTAATTTTGAGCAAACAAACACAATACTCAACCACCAAGAACAAAAGCTGTTAAAGGCTAACAATTTGGTCAACTTGATAATTTGATAGTGAAGCAGTTAATCCTAAAGTAAGCTCACCATAATATTAATGATAATTTCTTGAAACACACAAATAATCCAAAAAGTTTAGTATAGTCTAATCTATAATTCAAAGAAACAGAACAGACTACATTGGAAAATTCCACTGAAGATTGCAAAATCCTGAAGTTAAACTTTTTCAGACAAAACCAAATGATTAAAATAACAGTTTGTGCAATACAGCTTAATCTTTTTACAAGTACTGAATGAAGATGATAGCTAACAGTTTTGCTCCAGGGTAAAATGGCCAGGCCAAAAAGCAGTCTACAGAAAGATGAAGATTTCAGCAAGACTTTGGTTATTAAATTTATGTTTTCGACCAATAGTGGCCAAAAAAAAAACACATACCAGCAGAAGATTAGCAGCGCGGGAGACATCATGGGGATAATATCTTTCACCAATCAAGGACAACAAAGAAAGGAAGAAAAAAATATATGTATGCAAAGCACAAGAGCATAACTTTCAGCAACCTGTTAATGATTGAAGTCATCAGACTTATCACATCATGAAGTTTTTGTCCAATTACATCTCAAAAAAATAACAATGAAGCCAAGTTAGCCAACTTGTCAAGGCAAAAGATGACATAAAGTGTTATATCACATATGTTTAGCCTGCTTACTTCTTAAACTTTGAATAAACTATAAAGCCATTAATCACTGACTTATCTTAAATGCAAGGGTGAGCAAACAGTATGTTAATCAATCAATTTTATGTCAAACTTTTAGTAAACAGGTAAACCATAAGACATTAAAATAAAAAGATGCTTCCTTCGCTCTATAAAAATTGCTACATATATGGGTGTCACACACATTAAAAGCGAAATATAGGAGAAAGATAGAGTGATAAAAAGAGGGAACATGGATGAGGAGAGAGATAGAGAGAACAAATAGCCAAAAATGGGTATGTAGCAATTAATATTAACTTCTAAAATTGGGAAATGTAGCAATTAACAAAGAATGGAGGAAGAATAATTCTGAAATTTAGCTTTCCCTGTCATGCAAGGGTCAAAATATTAAAAGGTGCTCATTCCTAGATTTAAAACAATGCAATGTTAAAAAGGATACAGATTTATCTTTACAAATAGCTCCTCTGATAAATGGTAGCCATAAAATTTCTTTGCACGGACTACAGTGCAACTATGCACATGCTGCCTTTTTGTACCAGCATTGCCCTTGAGCTTCACGAATCCAAAGTATTCAAATTTTATCAGCAGCTGACGAAACATAATGATGAGCAAAGATAAAAAAAATTCAAACAATGTAAAACTCAACATACCTTCAAAGCCTTCTCAACAGCAAAAGATATGACATTCACATAAACACTACCTGTATTTACAAACAACCCAATCACACCATTGACATAGACACGCCTAGATTCTAAACAATTCTTTCAGACAGGATTTTACTAGACATTATACAAAACAACAAACTTTAGCAGCAACTCACAACTTCAATCAAATTTAAAGTAAAAGCAACTAAAACAATCAATTTTGGTACAAAAACCAATTTGAAGTAAAAACAAGTGAAACTTAAAAGTTTGGCAAAGCTTGCACTAATTTTTTCAAGGTTAGGATAGTTTTGCTTAGGTACCCTGAAAATTTTATACTCGTAAATTAAGACTGAATTTAAAATTTGGGGACATGTTGTCTTCCAATGACCCAAAACCATATCACATATTTGATCATTTCCCTTCTCATTAAACATAAGATACAACATAAATCAACAGTCATTTTCGTTTGGAGAGCCATAAAAATTGGCAATTTTCCAGCTTGACTTATTGAACAAATTTCCTCAACTAGTTACCCAACAATATAAAGATTACTCCAAGGGAAACTGATAATTTTCCAATGAATGCATGTGAAAAATTTATTGACAAAGTACAGTGTACCCACTATCCAACAAAAAATACAATGGTGGAAAGTATAAGCACGTGCCTAAAAGAGCAATATGGACTAAGGTGCTTCAAGTATATAATAACAATTATAGCATCATTCATATGAAAGTGGAAGGAGGATAAGGTGACAAAAAATAACATTCAGTTAACTTATGGAACATGACCTTTTTTTTTTTTTTCTTTTTTGGAAAAAGGATAACATGACATTTCCAACGAAGTACAATATATATCCAAAAGGGAAAAAAAAAAAAAAATTAGCCAAACCTTCTGGATTTAGATGAAGTGGTATATCTGAGCAGGGCACGTATAAATATGGTAAAGCCTACAAGATAAATCAAGGGCCAACATACCATGATTAGAGGGACCTCTGAAAGTTAACATCTGGGCTAGCCTCAAAATTAAAAAAAAAAAAAAAACAATTTAGCTAGCATAAAATTAGTATAGAATACAGTTTAAAAATCAATAAGATTATCCAGCACACAATGGAAGCTTACCAATTTACCCTATTCCACCAAAATTCACTTAAAAATAATTTAATTTATGAAAAATAAAATAAGGCTTAAAAATAAATTTACCCTATTCCACCAAAATTCACTTCAAAATAAATTCATTTATGATTCCTTGTGATGATTCATGTTAGTCGACCCCGAATCATTTTGGGACTAAGGCTGTGTTGTCGTATAAAAAATAAAATAAAATCCAATACCTTTTATCCATATTAAAAGATTTAAAATACTTAAATAACTTCTCTCACACTGTTTTCTTGTTAAAAACTACCATAAAGATGAAAATATAACCTGATTAAAATCCTTCATGGGACGTTAGTTAGTCAGCAAACAGAGAAATGTCGACAGAAAGTACTTGTAAATCCTACTCCGTAATTGGTTAATTTTGAATTATGTTGTGAATAACTAAAGATCGAATTAGGACTCTTATATCAAAAGATAGTAACTTACAAGAATAGTTAACATAAAACCCACATACAGTTAATATTTTATAAATTATAAAAGGATACTAATTTTAAAAAGTGTTGTATAAACATTAGCTGTTGAAAAATTTAACTACATTGAACTGAAAAACACCTAAATTGAGTTAATTCAAAAGAATTACATACAAATAAAAATTAATATTCATCAGAATTTTACAAAATCTTACTCGATGAACATGCACGCAAGCTTTCTGACCAGCAGGAGTGGAGCCAAAGATTCTTATAACAGGCACCTCCTTCACACTTCCACCTGTAAAAACATTTGAAGAATGAAAAACACAAAAATCTCAGCTGAAACCCTAGAAATTCGTCGATTAATTCAACATTTATAAATTATAATCGATTTAGGGTTTTGGAAAGATAAAAATCATTGAACTCCGAATAGATGAAATTGCAGAGAACCTTGGAAGCTGCTGTAAGAAATGTCGAAATCTGGAATTGGAGGAGACATGTAATGATCAATCGAAACGATTCGAACGCTGAAAACCTTGGAATCTCCCTGCGATGAAGGTTCTTCCATGGCGGTTCTTCACTCACTTTCTCTCTCCTCTTTCTATTAATGGTAACTGATTAACTGATTTTGAATTTTGGGAAAATTAGAAGGATTTTGTTCATTTGGCGGGGTTTAGGGCTTTTAATTCTTATACGACGTACTTGAGAAGTTTCAGGACATTTTTCGAAATTTAAAAAAAAAAAAAAAAATATTGAGGGCAACCATATGGAATTATAAGTGAGCATGGAGGTTGCCAGGTTGGTTACGAGTGAGGTGGAATAGAGAGATCAGAGATGTATATTATAAAAAAAAAAAATGTATTTATAATAAAATATAGATAAATAAAGGTTATGCTCTTAAAAAAATGAAAGGAATATCACTTTAAAGATGCTAAAAGATTGATGCGCCATATTCATATCAGCATGTTTATCGCAAAGCAAATTAAGCTCAAGTTTTGTTTCCAACACTAAACAAAAGAATTGAATATGAGCACAAAGCTTTACTAGACTAATACGTTTTTTGTTCTCTGATCTTGTAATATGGATAAACTAGGTTATTGCCCTAAGATCGGATACAATCCCATGATTTTGGTAATTACGTATCCTCCATATGAAGAGTCCTTCCAAACATCATGAACACTCTTATGGTGCATTTCATTAACACAATATTCACTTATCAAACTTATGTTAGGTTTAAAATGAACTTGAGTAGCACTTATTAACCTTTAACAATTTATCTGAACTTTTATTTTTTTCTTGAAATACGGAGTAAAGTGGAAAAGGTAAACATACAAGTAAAGACTAGAATAAACGCATGATGCAAGAGGATAACAGAAGAGAAAAGAGAGAATTTAGCAGAGGGATAAATTGATCATTTCTCATTACCAGCTGCAAGCATACAGTGCACCTTATATATACAATAAGACAAAGCCTAGCTTTATTACACTGAAAAGAAAATAACGGCCAGAGAATCTTTCTAGAAGAATTCAGGCAATCTAACAAACGAAGTAGCTGTACACAATTGTCAAGCTACATGCTTGAGATAAAATAAATCCAGTTCACATACTTCAGACTGATGTACTGTTAGGAATTCCCCTGCCAGTGAGTCCTGCATCACTCGTAGGATAAAGCAATGTGTATGGCATCTTCACTGGACCAACTCGATTCTTCTGTTTCTCATCTTTGTTCCTCTCTACAATCTTGTCTTCGATTTCCTCCAAAGTTTTCCCGAATTTCTCAAATGCTTCTAATGGTTTGGTATCTGCAGTCCACTCTCTGGTCTCCCTTTGCCCAAGATAGATCTGTTTCATAAAAAAGAAGAGAATATTTGTTGATGTAGTATCAAACAACTCAAACCACATAATTGACATGAAGGAGTTTATGAAAATACCTCATCAGAAGGATGTCTAGATAAAAGCTCTATAAGTGAAATCCCCAACACACTTTGGAACTTGTTTGAAATTGTCTTTAGGAATACATTGTCCGGCTTTTTCTCAAGCTCTTCATACTCTGGAGTGTTTGGCTCTGGCATGAGCCTCCGACTGACAGTTGGGCGATTTGGGTGGTACCCGGCATAAGGGTACTGCCCGAAATTGACTGCAGCATGGAGGGCTGAAGCAATCCATATAATGGTGGTGCAAGTCTGTGTTAGTTCATTAAATGTCTTCATATCTGGCCACCATTTCTCATCCTTCTTATCACCATGGCCTTTTTCTCGGATTTCTTTCCACCATGACTGTAGTTCTATGTCTTTACAGATCATGTCATCGGACTTGTAGTAGAATGAGCAATATTCTTTCACCCACGTCTCAATTGCTGACCAGATGTCTAGTGCATCAACGGCGTATGGGTAGTCCTCTATCAGTAGTTTGTAGCCATGAGGGCTATGAGCGTCTTTCACAGCAACCCCCCTGATTAACAAAAGTAGTGAATACAATGTCAGTAAAACATATTGTGTACTCAAAACTTAGTACAAAATTAAACAAAGCATGCACTAGTACACGAGTTTTGTTACAAGAATTTTTTTTAAGCACATAACCTTTTAACGAGATCATTAGGAACGGCTTGGTCAGTGAAAACCCAGCTCTTATACACTGCTGACGACAGCTCCATGGAATACTGTCTAGGAAATACAGTTTTCTCAAGGAGTCCTTCAGCATTAAGAAGTACTTGTCTTGCTACTGCGTTTATGTCCATAGTATAACGGAAATGAGGGTGCAGAAGTCTGTGGATTGGATGAAGCACACTCAGTTGCCTATTTGATGCAATCACAAAGGGTTCGATCACTGCATGAGTTAGCATCGTGCAGTAGGCCAAAAAGCATTTGTCAATACATTACTTGATGACTAGTGAACACATATGCATGCCAAAGTGAAAACTCTAGATTTTTTGTGACAGAAGTCACAGAATTAGTACCAGTGGCTGATGAGTTGATGGTGGCCAGAATCATTAACTGCAACATAAGCTTTGGCAAGCTGCCAAAGCGAACCTTCAACACCATCATGAGCAGGTGTAAACACCTTGCTAATGGCACCCAATTTATCACCTTCAGGATGTGGTAGACTCAACTCGATAGCTAAAGGCTTCAGAGTTCCGTCATTTTGTAAGAACAGAACTGTTCTGGTGGCATAGATCTTTGAAGGAGTGGAGTTTATTCGCCTTACAAATGGCATCAAAGTGTCGTGGTGATCTAGAATAAATAGCTTATTTTTCTTAATTGCCTATTTCAATCAAACACAACTTTGGTTATACATTGAAATCATTGTGAGAATTTACAACAACAAAAAAGTTGTGCTGAAATTTCTTACCTCGTCTACACACAATCCACCAAGGCTCTTCTGGATGTGTTCTTTGGTGATTGAACTGTTTTGGTTTCCATATAATTTGGGATCAAGCTTGCTAACAGGAGGAAAGACCTGCAACATATGAGAGCAAGTTTGATTTAGCATTTAACCGAACTTTTGATCCATGATTAGATTTACCTCTCCATATAATACATAACAAGATTGATAACCTAATTAAATTTGTACTTCCTAGTTCCCTACATTCTAAATTAGTTGTCACATTGGCGAAACCTTCATAATGTCATGATATTATATACACTTAATAAAAGTTGGATCTTCTTACTTTCTTTACCCCTCAATTCAAATAGTTATCCTGATTAATCATTGTCCAAATTATCATGACATGTGAACTATTTTTGGAAATACCAAATTATTTCTCACCTCAAGACGACGAATGGCTAGAGGATTTACACCAGCTAACATTTCTCTTGCAAATTCTTCGTCAGTCCTCCAAGCTGACTTATCCTCTGTGACCAAGGCAGAGTACATTAAACAAATGATCATTTCATGTTTAAACATCAGGCATATAAGAGTATTTTATCCAGATACATACCTTTGATTACATCAGGCATTGGAAATTTTAGAAGTGGAGCACCATCAGTTTGAAGGAAAGCTTTTACTAATTCAAATGGGATGCTATCCTTTAGCTTCTCAATGAGATCACCCTGTGGTAGCTTAATTCCTCCTTCATACAGATCCAGTTCATCTTGGAAACTGTCAAACTCATTGCGATCCTTGTCGAATATAGACTCAAGACCAACAGCAAAGTCCTGGGATAAGGACTTAAGCGCATAACCCAGGAAATCAGACATCTTTATGTGTCCGAATTTCTCATCTCTTGGAACATATACATCTAAACCCTTTAGAAGTGGAAGTCTACTCTCAGTTTTAGGATCTGCCAAGTCATACAGATATTATTTAGCTTCGGAACCATGTATCTCAGGTTGTATTAGATGAGAAAATTATCAAGTTCATCTGAAACCACACCTCTTGTTTATGAGATCAGTTACACAAATCTAGTTCTTATTTCACATGTTCATTTGATCAATCTGCAATCTACTGTGTAGATATAATCAATAAGACATGACTCCTAAGAGACGAAAAGATTACTCTTCTTGCACCGTGTTTTGCAAGTACATTAGTATAGTACAAGTGCAGTAGATAAACAATTTTACTGAAGTTGATGCAAAACTCGGAATGTGTTGTTTCATGCAGCTAGCATAACTAAGGCAAGGTTCTATCCAAAATCCTTAAAATCTTACCTGTCTTTGTTGGGGGACGGCCTGTTCTTCCCCTCCGAGGATAAGGATATTCAGCAGATCCTCCAAGTACAGGACGAGCATACTTGGGACCTTTATCCGGATCTCCTAGATCATTGTAGTATGCATAGTCATAAACACGATCCCATTCCTCTAGCTTTCCTTCCCCGGTTCCTCTTAATATCTCAAGCTCTTCTTCACGATACTTGCTTAAAGGTGCAGGTGTTTCATCAGGTAGATAAGTCTGTCATACCACATTTGTAACAACATCATACTGTTACTGTGTTGCAAAACATTAGAAATTTCATTACTTCGGATGAATATAAAGAATAAACTACCACCTTATTGCTGAAAATAATACGGTCCTTCTTGTAACGATTAGTTGGGTAGATCCACGAGTTACACACAAAGTTGATTTTACCACAATCAGGAATGTCTTCTAAGGTGACAGACTTCAGGTAAAATTGACTGTGATGTTCATTCTTTATGATTACTGCGCCAGGAACGCCAATGTCCTCATCCCAATCAAAAGTAATATTAAATGCTGACTCCCCGGGTGTTAAACCAGTGAAATTTTTGAGCCAATCTCCTAGATATGAAGGCTTTCCTAGTTTTCCTTTCGATTCATTGCCTGCAAATAAATTACACCATATATTACTCGTTAAGATGAATATTAATGATTCAAAGTGTCATTAACGTTGCTAAGTGTCAACTAGCATATTTGGTTAAAGTCTTAAGAGGTTGTACCCAAAACTTTCAGGACCCTATCTCATTTACATCATTGTCCTTGTTGGCTCTTTATACAACGAAAAAAAAAAAAAAAGTACAGAGTAGCTGTCAGAGGAACTAACAAGTCTCTACACTGTAATTGAGTAATTAGATAGTGGGATTAAGGCATGCTAAACATGTTTACAAAGTGATTTCCTTCATTTTTTCATAAGGTTGGCTCTTATATTTTACTGGGACTGTAACTGGCAAGGCAATTCCCTTACATCTAAGAGGATTCAGGTTTGAGTATCCTTACCCCCTGCGCTCTCCTTCTCGAGGGAGAAAATCGTAAGTTCGTAACCAAATTAAGGCTATGTTGAGTTCACCTGATAATGTGATTTTGCATCACCCATTGCTGATTTGCGCGCTATAGCACTACTACATACCCCTATGTTTGTTGCTATTTCTAGTGCTAGTGCTAGTGCTAATGCTAATGCTAATGGCTATTGCTAATTCCTGTTGCTATTGTTATTGCTTTTTGCTATTGTTGTAGCTTTCACCAATTCACAATCACTTTGTTGGTATTTTACTTATAATTGAATATAAGAAATACAATTAATTAAGTTAGGACTCCAATATTTATTCCTCAATTTCATATAGTAACAATTTGACATAACAATATATATGAACATTATGTACAAAAAAAAAAATATATAACTGTTGCATATGTCATGTGGTACAACACTCCTCTGAACCAATAAAAAAGATGAAATTATTATTTATTTTCAAAATTAATTCTCAATTTCCACTTCTGTGAGAGGGTTATATTATCAATTGTATAACCGTTGTATTACTTGACAAGTTTAAAACGAATTACTACCTACTTGTAGTAATTTGGTTTTTACTTGGCTTTAATTAGAAAACACTTCTTATTTTCAAATGGATAGGATAGAGTAAATAAGCAAGGACAATTTGGACAAAGTATGGATGAGTTAGTTAATCATAGGATGTGAGAAAGTTGGTACTAGATGTTTTCTTCATTTTTTAAATTAAGGTCATATATATGCAATATGATTAGAATATTACTACCTCCATTCATACTTGTTCTTTACACTTTCCACATTAGTAGATTATTTTTATTCGTAGTTTTTTATAATTTTACCTTTACATTTTCAATTTTTGGGTTTGATTTTCACATTCCTAGCTCTATGGTTCTCACTTGTTTCCCACATACTACCCTATTTTTGACATCCTCTCTTCCTATCTTGATTTATTGCAAATAATAATCGTAAAAATAAATCATTAAAGTATAAATAGTTGGTTTATTACTTTTTAAATTTGAAAACTTGACATAGATATGGAAGAATAAAGTAAAATTCAAATAAATGATGGACAAATTTAAACAAAAAGATCGAATATTAATAAGCTTAACATATACGAAATCCTTCATTCCTTCTTGTACAAGTAGTCAAGTATGTTTGATTCTTATATACGAAGTAATCATGCAATTTTATCTTTAAAAGCAAAATCCAACGTACATTTGGTTTACAAAGTTATAAATCTCAATTATCATTAAACTTTAGAAAGGCACAAAAAAAAAGTTAAAGCTCGCAAATATGTTATATTGGTATTTGGTATATAAGGAAGGAATGAGTATGATAGACGAAATTCGATCTAAGGAATTCAATACAGCCCGACCTCGTTCACTTTTAAGTTTTAAACATTTATCCAACTAATTAAGCTGGTACTTTAGATGAATATCCTAAAGGTGAACACATATTTTTACTCATTGTTAATCGATTTTAGTGGAGTACTTGATAAATATATATATGTACATGTACACGTATATACATAGTGGCATAGTGCTATTTTTTACTGGGAAATGTGACCTATTTGAATTTTGAAACTCCCAAATACTATAGAATTAAAATCAAATAAAAATAAAATTCACTTTTTTATTAATCTCATTTAAAAACTATGTTAACACCAACACCTTAATGATTGAAAATCATTGAATAAATAATCATAATAACTATACTAAAGTATATAAAAACTTATATACAAGTATAAATTATTGTATAAACAATAATATTGCATGAATTTAAGGAAAAAAAAAAAAAAAGTGAGAGTAAAAATATACAGTAAAAATTACCTGGGTCGGTATTAATAGAGCTAACAAGCTGAAATGACATCTTTTTACCAAGCAATTCATCAAATCTATCAAGAATTGATGCATTAAAATCATTAAAATCCAACACGTTCTTCTTCATTAATATTACTCTTCCATTTATTTGCTTCTTGTTCTTGTTACTACTACTATCTCCTGAAATTGCATCTATAATATTATGAAACATTTTGCCCCCTTTTTTTTTGTTATTTTGGAAGATATGGGTTTTAAATTTTTAATTCTTTTGGTGAATATGTATATATAAATGGTAAAATTATAAATATAGTTGTTTGAATGATTTTGGAAAGGTGGTGGGTTTTTCAAATGAAAGAAATTAAAAAAATGAAGGGGCATTTATAAGGGAAAAAGTAGGTGCCTAAATTTATTGATATGGAGAAAATGTGATTAATATGAATGACCTTACCACGGCAGTGCATGCAGTTTAAGATGATGTAGATTGGTATGTATGCCCATCATTTTTTTTTAATTTGTTACATACTTCCTTTGTACGAGTAATAAATATGCAATCCATTGTCTTTTTGATATTTTTATTTGCTGTTGGTTTTCATGAGGATTGATAAGGTGGAAAGTGTGTGTGGGGTGGTGGGCGCATCATATAAGGTCTTGTGAGAGAGCGAGGGATAGATCATGTGGTTAGAGATTTCCTCTTGATTCCAGTCGATCTTGAGATCGATTTTCATCACTCATTCTTGTGGCTCTCTAAACACCAAAAAAAAAAAAAAAAAAAAAAAAAAAAATCATTTAAGGTCCTGTTCGATCTTTTGAGTTGCTGTGGTTAATTGATCTGCTGACACCTGTTCTACTATGCTCAAAAGAATAGGGTCTAATTATTGTATCCGTAATTTCGTATTAGACATTTAGACATGATTGTGTATGATATAACTAGACTTGAATACGCGTGGGACAAATTATAAAAAAAAAAATGTATATATATACTTGGATCCAAACCATGCCTTACCTTGACATTGTTTTTATTTATTTGTTCATTTTAGTTTCAATAGGTTTTTTCTTATTCGTACTCCGTATTTACTTTCTTGTGACAAGTCTACCATACTCTTCCCTTCAATATTGCTTCTCTCGCTCCGATCCCTATAGGACCTCTTTGTCTTCACTATTGTCTTGTTCTCCGGCCTCTTTCTTGCATCATCGCTGACTTCTTATCCGTATTATATTATGGAGGATGTACCAGTTATATTTAGAATTAAACCTAATATAAATTTTTTAAGTAATCAAACGTTTTATCTAAATAGTACATTCATGTGACATACTAAGGCCATATTCTTTTAAGTTTATGAGTTGAGCAGAGTAGAACAGATTTTAACAGAGCAGAGTAGAGCTCAACAGGACAGAGTAGAGCAGAAAGCTCAAAAGAACAAGGCCTAACTATTATGTTATGGAGTACGTAACAATTAAATTTTAACTTGTTTTGATGTGAAAAATCAAATTTTTAGATGCTAGGCACATTGCACTATTATTATTATTATTATTATTATATAATAATAATAATAATAATAATAATAATTTATTTATTTAGAGGGACACATTGCATGCATTACTTTGTTTATGATAAATTATTATGTCATGTGCTTTGCTTGATGGCCAATATAAGGTGTACGAGTATATAAGTGCTCCTATCAACGTGGCCACAGAGTAGAGGAGAACGTAATAATTAATTATAATATACGAAGTTTTTCATTTTAAGTGCAACTTTCGACCTAAAATTAAGTGTTTTTTTTTTTTTTTTTTAAGTTCTTTTTGTTTTAAAAACTTGTTGAATTACCCAAGGCCAAGTCGATTATGAGATAAAGATAAAGATAAAGAAACTCTCTAAGAAGGGGGTAAAGCATTCTACTACAAAACAAACAATTAAAGACATAAATAAAGTGCAAAATAAATAAATTAAATAAAATTACTATGGGGCTCGTGAATTCGTGATAGAGTTGAGATTAAACAATCATCAAATATCATATCATAAACCTGGCCTACAAATGTAAGAAAAAAAAAAAAGAGAGAAGAAGAACAAAGGGTGGGATTAGTGATTCAACCTTTCAAGATTATCCATCTATGTTATAACAGTGGCCTTGTTTGTTATTACTCCGTAGGTAATTGAATTGATTGGTGATTGTTTGCTAAGATCGTATTCAAACTGTACTGTTTTGACTAAATGGTTACTTTAAATGTTTTGATTAACTAGTTATATATAGAGTAATATGTTTGAGCAAAAGAGTCCGGTAAAATTAGTTTATTTCACATTTATAAGTAATAACAAACCACATGCAGTAGTTGTTCGTTTAATTTAATTATTAATTATACATATGAAAAATATGCTAAAAGAAGGTATATAATTTTGTTGTTATTTGACTTAATTTTCACAATCATTTATCTAATTTAAGAAGGTTTCTTTCCTTTAACTTTTTACTTCCTCCATGTTTTTATTTTCATAAATTACATAATTACAGAGAACATAGATTGCGTTCAATAGTCAATATCCGTCTGACATCTTTGTATCAGAACATACAAAACATTTGGTATGGTTGCTAATTAAAAAAATTGGTAGAAAATGATACAAAACACAATCTAAGTCAAAGCAATACATAATACAATATTACACCTAATTATTAAAAATAATCTTATCCATATCTAAATTTTCGAAGAAAAGAAAAAAAATCTTTTCTTCTATGAAGAAATTTTTAGTGTTTATTTCCCACAGTTTTCAAATAATTTTTCTACTAGATTTAGACATACATATTAAGAAATTTAGTAGAAAAATAGATATAAAAAGTATGAAAGAGAACGAGTTAATTGGAAACATCTACAATGTATATATGGTTTGAATAATTTTTATTTGTTTAAGGAAAATTTTAAGTAATAAAAAGGTTTTTATTTTACGGAAGGTTTTTATTTTAGACATATGCCCTATAAAAATCAGGAAATTTGTTTATGGACGGAGGAAATAGTACCCTACTTACCAGGAGAAGAAATCGTAAATTTGTAGTTTTGTTTATTACCTTTCCACATCACTAGTATCTAGTAAAGGAAAAGCCAAGTAAAGAAAGAGACTACAAACAGTCAAACATATTTTGCTTTTAACATGATCGATCATTGTAGTTGAAGATTGGAGTTTCCTCTACATTTTGTCTAGAAAGCGATGTTGCATTATAATTATGATCGAGAATGGTTACTTTCTAGATCTTTTTATTTTTGGGAAAATGAATGAGTAAAAGTTACTGAAAAATGATAAATGATGCCCTTTTTTTTTTTTTTTTTTGATAAATGATGCCTTAGGAATTGCACTTAAAATGCTATAGATTACTAATTATAATTAAGTAAAAAAGGAGAGATGAGAAAAATTAAGCATTAATCACACGAAGAGGTCAATTTGTGTAGTTTTTGTCATAGATTTTCAATTATATACTAAGAATTATTATTGGATAATTGTTATATATTGTCATTCATGACTAGGGTGATTATTGACGTGGACTCACTCGACTAAATTCATAATATATGTTGCTTTATATCTTATATTTTCCTTTTTACCGTCCATATAGGCATGTAAGTTGGATTTTTTCTTCACGAGTTAATCGTAAATTACTAACTCAATTAGCGGCGCACTTAATAAATTGCTTATACAATCAATCCCCATTAAATAATTTAGTGGTTTATTATAGTGAAATAGCTACTAGATTATCTTTTTTAACAAAAAAAAAATTAATTGAATTAGCTTTTTAATATCTTTATTATGGTGAATACGATTAAAAATTGCAAATATATGTTTGAAATAGATGGTATGTTGGGATTTTTAATATAATTATTTTTTATTTTTTCTTGGTAAAGTGAGTGTATTTGGGAAATTTGGTTAATTTTCTTTTTTTTTTATTGAAAAGATAGCTAGTTATATTATTAAATCAAGTCCAATTCCACATAGTCAATGATAATTTGGGAGAACAAACCTCAGCAAACCAATTCAGAGACTTAGAGTTTCTACCGATGTCCTACCTTGCCACTAGGTGAGCCACTGTATTACATAAATACTTAACAAAAATAAAATTTCAGTCATTAAATTTGGTCATCTTTTAGCATTAAGAATGGTTGATAAAACATGTAGTACTAATAAAAATACACCTCAAATAAGTAAATAAACAAATAAAAAGTACAAAAGGCAGATTTCCCACCTCATCATAGAGAAATGATGAGAAAGGATCATAGAGTTGCCGACAAAAGTTGTGGGAATGTGCGATAAATAAAGTGCAACGTATTCAATACTATGCATGGCGTGTTTATAGTAACTTCCTTTCATGAATTGGATTATTTCTTCCAGTAGAGGGATGAATCATCTGCCTTTTAACTTTTAAGGTATGGTTTTATTATGTTTAGGTCACTCTCTTAAGATAAGGATCTCTTACCTTTTTTGCCCTTTCAACTTTGATTTGGGATATTTGACGTAACACTTGTTAATTAGCGTCATAAAGACGTATATAAATTTGGGTGACTTTAATTATCTAATCTAGTTTATCGTCACATTTCGCTCACTTTCTCTTTCTTTCAATTCCCTTCCCACCCTTATTATCTCGTAGCCCTCCAAGGCTCCAACAAAACACCGGCCACCATCTTGAAATGAATCCTAATGGTTCATTTGTTAAGTCACTTTAGTGACTATAAATGATGGTAATTAATGAGAATGAAATACAAAAAAAAAAATCTAGCCGTCTCTTCTCTATTTTTTCTCTCTACATTCTTCAAAAACAGTGTTTTATAGGCCGAAAATAGTCAAATATCTCCAGACATTTGGTTATTTCCGACCCTTTTTCTTTAGTTTTTTTTTATGTTTTTGTTATTGAATTCAATAAATTTACACTCTTTAAAGGTAGCAAGTACCCCTATAGTGAGTTTAAGTGTAGAAAGTGTCCCTATGGTGGGCTTTGTTCTAGTTTTGTTTTTGTTTTTTGGGTTTAGTATGGAACAAGTTGTGTCATGGGTAAAGATTTGTACGAGATCGAAAAAAAGGTTAATCCTTCGATTATAATCAGATGAATCAGACGAAAATTTTCCTCACGACTACAACAGATCAATAGATCCCTCGTAAAAAAAGGCTGTAAATCACGATATAAAAGAGGGTATGATTGACATTCAATCAATCAATCCCATACCATAATTAGCCTATCAATCATTCAATCTTACGTTACACAAATGAAGGAACAAAATCCTTTCAAAAAAAACAAAAAAAAAAAAGAAGGAACAGAATGTGATGCGATGGGCCTACGGCTACCACATGAAAAACGTTCACTATCTCTCTATAGTATAATTTGTCAAATGAAAAGTTTAGAAAAAACCACGAAGTTTTTTCACTAGACTTAAGTCAGCTAACAATTAAGATATGGTCTTTCACCAAATTACGGGTCCATTGAATTAATTCCGAAGATATAAAAGAATACATATTAAGTCATGTTCACAATTATATCTAACACTATTATACCAATTTCATCATAACATTGCTTGTAAGGTAACATAATTTTGAATTTTGAAGCAATTTCTACTATTATTGATTTGGTAAGCATTAACGAAAAATTGATGACAACTATAATTTGATGGTGGCAATCATTCCCAAGTCCCAAACATGTGATGTGATGCTAGGTTAGTAGTATGGAATGGTTATTATCAATATGATTTGCATGCGGATCAAGAGTTATAGGAGTAGTAGGGTTGGCTAAACAAGGACCAGTACTCCGTATACAAATGTAATAAGTTAAGTTAGGCGGAAAAAAAAAAAGAATTAGTCATTTTGGAGTTAGGATTTCGAGCTATATGCAACTTCAAAGATAATACTTCCTCCGTGTTTTTTAATTACATCACTTTTGTAATTGCAGACTCCTAGACAATTTTTGGAGTGGGGAGATATAAGGAAAAAAAATGAGAGACGTATAAAAAATTCTTTTGACGTCAAAATATTGATTGGATTGAAATGTTATCAAGATGAAAGTATGTTTCATTTGAACAATAAATTGAATTTGTGCAAAATTACAAAAGGTTGATGATTCAAAAAAAGGGGTGAGTTGTGTATAGTGTATTCAATGGGCTAGAAAATTTTGTCTTTTTTTTTTTTTTTTTTTTTTGACAAAAGCAAAT